TGGAAAAGGTTTATTTAAGCTTTTAATACATACATATAAGTAAAACCCATGACCCCCAAAGAGCAACGTTTGACCTTAGAGCTATAAAATTGAACAAACTTGAAAGATGTCCACTTGACAATGTTTCATGCCATTTATCTTAGCGCAACCTTTGTGGTCTCGAAGATTCTTAAGTTTTTTGTTTTGTTTTTTTTTTACTTTCGGTCGCTATTTGTGCATGAAATATAATTTGTGAACGTTTCGAAAAGACTTAATGTTCCAGAAACAATCCTACTTAAAGTTTTACCATCATTGACCCATGGTTTTAAACAAAAGTTGACGATGCACGAATACATTTCGCTCACAATAGTTCATTATGAGCACGTTATGCTCAGATTACATAAAATCCTATACCTTTCCAACTAAAAATAATACTTTTCCATTTGGTTTGTGCAGCAATTTGAATGCTCAGAAAAAGTTTTCAAATCCGGGCGTACGTTCTTGATTAATTATTTGCAACCATTGATGTTTTGTTGTAATTTTTTTTAAATTCCCTTTTATGTTTGTTTGTTTGTTTCATTTTACGCATTTTCCCAACAGTATTTCAGTCATATAATTATGGGCAGGTAGTTTCCTAACCATCGTTTCTGGAGAGTTACACCAGTACTTGACAACCTTCCTCCGCGCTAAACTACCAAAGCATCTCCCGGGGATCGAACCCACGCCAGAGAGGTAACTGGATAACATGTCATCTACTCTAACCCCTCGACCTCGGAGGCGGTCCTTTCATATCGAATGTGAAGGAAACATTTACATTCTTTAGATCTAAGTAGTTAATAATGTTCACCTTTAGTTGCGAAAAACTCTCACGTCACTTTAACGTCGCCGCCACGTACGATAGAGTTTCGAAAGATTACATATAAAAATACAAAACAAGTTTAATTTGAAGGCATTACGGTAGCGATTTTTATAAATAAATATAAGTATTACTGTTAATAATCAGGATAAAAGAAATTATTTAAATTGACAGGACACCATTGTTGAGAATCCCTATCCGCTACGCATATCTACAATTATATGAAATTTTTAAATGAGAAATAAACGAAAATACAAGATTTCAGTGCATTACACACTTGTTTTTTTTTGCATCCTGAACGGCCTTCTTCAGGATACATAAATAATAAATATTTACAGTACCAATTTTTAACATATGTTTGAAACATATAGCAGAAAAATACAAAGTAAACTTTTTTAAATCACCATTTTCCCATTTTATGTCTATACATTAGAGCGTTAATGCGCCTTATTTCGAACAGTAACATCTGCTTGAATGTGTGTGACCCCCAGTGTGAACCATATGGTCACAATGGTCTTATAAGTTTTATATTCATACAAGATATGTGTTATGTTAAACTAAATTACCTAGTATGAGTATATCTTATGATATAGGCAATATCACTATTGAAACAATCCTAAATTATGGCTGTAAGAAATATATTGGTTACCATTGCTGCGATGAAATGACCTTTTGATAATAAATATAAGGATATTTCATGCTTGGTGTATTGATTGTGCTTAATATGGCCGGGAACAAGTACACTTATAACTTTATCACTTTGGTATTTTGTGTGCTCCATATAGACGGGAAAAGGTAGGTACATTATTGTAACATTTATATTTTCTATTTGGATGGCTTACTAGCACACAAACTAAACAACACCCGAAGGATAGTTTATATATTTTATTATATGTGTTGTATCCAAGTATACACTCATAAACTCCCAAACATCAAGTAAACATACACACAGTAACAATAACGATATTTGATATTAAAGGCGTGGCTTATTATATCTTGTTACACAGACTTGCTTACTATTTCTTTTATACTTTGCGCTCCTTATGGTCGGGAACAGGTACATTCATTACTTTTTTCTTTTTAGTACTTTGTGTTCCATATGGTCGGGAACAGATACACTTCTTACTTTCTTTTTTGTAACTTTGTGCTCCATATGATTGGGAACAGGCACAATTATTTCTTTGTCCTTTTTGGACCTTTGTTCTCCATATGGTCGGGAACAGGTACACAGTTCACTAAATTTGTATCAAAAATCAATAAAACTCAATGAGCAAGGAAGAGAACTCAGTTCCTAGAGGTGATACCAAAATCGAGGAAAACAGAACGCCTTCGACCCTGGTTTCATTTCAAAAAGAACAGGCATTGTATAAACAGAGAGGCATATTTTTAGACGAGCTTGAATAAAGTTTTTGGAATTTCTGTGCCAATAAACCGACCAGAGAAGGTGCTTTTGAACTTCAACCAGATTCTTGTAAAAGACAATTTAATTTCAATGGACTTTATAAATAGAGCAGAGGTATTGTGTAATTTCAAGAATTTTACTTCTAATAAAGATTTTGCCCATAACGAAGCCTTAAAGTTTCGTATACGAAACAAGCTGTTAAAAATTGCCGACAAACATGGCTGGGATGGTGTTTGGACTTTACACCTCCTGGATGTTTCACCCCTAGACGTTTCACCCTCAAAACCCTTGACTCTGAATAAAATTTAGTAAATCCGATCATTTTGTTTTTATCTGTTTTTCATACATATTTGGTAAATTTTATTTGAACAAGAATGTCATTTTTTAAATAAAATTTCTTAATTATAAATTTCAAAAAACAAATGTTCTCTCAATGTCTATCATGCAAATTTATATGATATTGAGTTATCTCAATTATCACTCAATATAATCCAATTAAGGTGTAACAACTTAAGTATGTCAAACAAGTTTACTGGTATTAATCCATACAGTATACAATATTATTTATAAAAAAAGTAGCCAAAACGTCTAGGAGGTGTAAAGACCAAAGGTGAAACGTCCAGCAGGTGTAAAGACCAAAGGTGAAACGTCCAGGAGGTGTAAAGTCCTGAAATCGCTGGGATACCGTCAGGGATTATGATGCTGACCCGCTTGCTGATAATGACGACGATGCTTCAAGCTTCGAAGCGTCATTGCAAGGGCTGCAGTCAGGCATTTCCACCACCTAATCGCAGCTAGTCAGGTTTGTTTCAACAATGGTCGCCCGTTCTTGGGTATCGACCAAGATTTGAAAGCTATTTCCAAACAAATTTCCCGTTAAATGTTCAAAATAAGTTTAGCCTGTGTTTTTTTTTTTTTTTGAAGGTCTTGTCCAAAGGATTGTTGTGGCCAAGTGGCAAGAGAATTCTATGGTGGCTGATTTGTGCCATTCGTGCTTTCCACCCTGCGACCCCGCAATGCGAAAAATCGAGAATTAAGAAGATAAAATAGCGGGGGTGCGGAGGTAGGTCGAAATTTAATATAAAAAAAAATTGCCACGAGATATTTAAGAAAAGAAACGACATGAGCGAATAAAACCCGTAGGGCGAAGATTTATCTATCCAACTTTGCCCCGCGCCTCTGCTAATTAGCGTGCCTTTGCTTCGCGCACCCCAATCCCATTTCAAATTGTTAATTCTCACTTTTCGCTTGGCGGGGTAGCGGGACGAAACCACGAATTGCACAATACAGCCACATTAGAATACACCAAGAACTTAAAAAGGTATGATCAAGGCGGCAACGGGACCACAACTGTACAATATCTCAATTTCATTTTTTAAAGTCGACCTTAAAACGAGAAATAGTCTTTATTACAGTTACTAACAAATTTCTCAGGGTTTTACCAAAAAAATATAGGACTGTAACTTAACAATTTTGACTGTATGTTTGCCCTTGGTCTGTAAGATAAAAGGGCCATGGTTTATATGACTTTGTAGGGTTTATTTAGCGATGTTACAAGCAAAATATCTAAACTTTACGCATTGCTGTTTCATAAAGGAGGATTTAATTATATTTTCGACATAAGCCTAGTAAACTATGGACCCCAAGGAAAGGGCCATTTTTACACCAGATGCATGATTGATACAAGTTTTGTGAAGGATCACAAGGCAAATATTTAAGCTCTGGACATTATCAGGCCCTCATTGTTGAGAGTCTTTGAAAGATATATTAAGTCTATATAAATTGTGACCCCTGAGGTGGGGTCAATTTTGACACAAAAGACATGATTTTTTTATACTTTTGTTGATAACAAGGTGATAATGCTACAAGCAAAATAAAAGTCTGGCCAATTTTTACCCCATGGCTTTTATTTGAACAAACTTGGTAGACATCATCTAGAAGATGTTTCATGCTTTAAATCTTGCTATTTGGGTTTTTTAAAAGAAGATTTTTTTAAGTTTTTACTATATATAAATAAGGAAAATCCATGACCCCCTGGGGCGGGGCCAATTTTTTACCCCATTGCTTTTATTTGAATTAACTAAATAGACACCAACTAGAAAACGTTTCATGCTTATTATCTAAGCTTTAGCTATTTGGGGTTTTAAAAGAAGATTTTTAAAGTTTTTACTATATACAAATAAGGAAAATCAATGACACCCTGGGGCAGGGCCAATTTTTACCCCAGGGCTTTTATTTGCACAAACTTGGTAGACACCAATTAGAAGATGTTTCAAGCTTAATATCTAAACTCTAGCTATTTGGGTTTATTAAAAGCAGTTTTTACTATATAAAAATAAGGAAAATCGATGACCCCCACCCCAAACTGGACCAATTTTGACCCCAGAGCATTTAGTTTTAAGACTTTGTAGACACTGGCTAGATTATGTTTCATACCAAATATTCAAACTCTAGCTCTTTCAGTTTTCTAAAGGAAGATATTTTTTTTGGTTGCCATGGCAACCAGAGTTCTGCTTGGAATTAAATTCTTTGAACAATTTTTAAAGTTGACTACCAAAGGAACATTCCTGTGAAGTTTGGATGAAATTGGCTTAGCAGTTTATGAGGAAATGTCGCTCAAAGTGAAAGTTACGGACAGATGACTAACGCCAGACGAAAAGTGATAACAAAAGCTCGACATATCACTTCATGACAGGTGAGCTAAAAAGGTGTAGGGGTCATAAATGGTCATTTTCTAATCAGTGCAAAAGCATCAAGTCAAACAAAGTTTAAAATACTTTATTTAGCAAATACATTTATCCTTTTTTTAAATTTATCAAGCTATAAAGAAACTTAGATGTCAATATGTAACAAATAAAACTTGGTCACACAATTATATTTTCATTATCTCATTAACAATCTAAAATTCAGGAATTAACAAACCCTTCCTGGTGTTAATGTTACATCTCATTAACAATCTAAAATTCAGGAATTAACAAACCCTTCCTGGGGTTATCTAACATTATCATAAATTGCAGGTATTATACAATTTACTAAAAGCAAGCAAGGAAACTGCATGTAAGTGTATTGTTTTCTTTACCATTAACTTTGTTTTTATTGGATTTTATGTCATAGTGACACAGTATAGGTGATATGGTGACTTACAACGTTTACTGGTAGAGGTAAGCCTTCAGTGCCCCTACATGCATTATTTCAAGCACAACTGGACACCGGAGTTTAAACCACCAACCTTAGGTAAACTAGCTTGTTAGCTTCCTCACATTACAGAATCCAAGGTCCCTGGCATTATGATTCTAACCCACATTGTTGAGGTGTATTTAACTATATTCCTTTAAACTGCACATTAACAAGTTTTCTTCATTTACTCGTACAATGACATTATGCCCATCCAGATGTAAATGGTTAATGCCAAAAGTCAAAATATCTTGAGATTTTGCCATAATTGTTTTTCAAATCTATGTATAATCAATAATCCATGTGACTTACCGAAAATTCTATATATATCCTTAGGAATGTATTCACTTGATAGAAAGAGTGGGGCATTCTTTTTATATCTGATTGCCTGATTTTTCATATTTTGCTGCAGTATTCTATGTACAAAAACAGTGGACCATTCAAAATAGAAAGCTGGGTAAGTTTAATACATAAGTTTAGCCAGATAAGGGTTAATGAACAGGTGTGTGTGACACGGACAGTGATGTGACACTACCACAATTCATTTATTTCATCCATATCTATAATTCAATTAAATTATAATGGAATCATTTAAAGCTGCATGCCTCCAGATGAGGCAAATATTTCAAGAAAATGAAACTTGAGAAAATGTATTAAGAACTTATGAAAAGTAAAGAAGTTAAATATATAAGTAATAATTTTCATGTTATTTGAGATAAATGAGTTAGTAACGCTGTAAGGGCTATTTTTGCATATTTTGACCTCTTTTCAGCAATTTACATGGATTGTAAATGCCGTTAACAATGTGTATACTATTTTCTTTGTTCACTTCACAATATTTTACTTTTTAATACATTTACAAAATTTTCATGAAAATAGGCAGGAATCTGGAGGTATGCTTCTTTAACTACAATGTAGAATGGTTAGTTTTAAATGTCCTATGTGATCTGTGCTACATTATTTCTTTTTAGCCGTCAGTCCTGCACCGGCATTGAACTTTATGAACAAAATGTCGCCGTCTTCCACGACATACTCTCGTCCCTTCTGCTTGTATTTACCGGCAGCCTGAATTATATAAAATGTTTCAGCTTAAATTATGAAAATGTTTTACAACCACAAAAAACTGATCATGGGCAGTTCCAGCAATGGAAAGCCAGTGATTTTCCTGCTTATTTTACAGACTCTGATGAAAGGCCTCTTCCTGATTGAAATTTTCCTTAAAATCATGTAGTTTTCCCAAAAATCTGATCTTAAACCTGCTTTTTTACTTCCCAAATTAGCAATTTAGCTATAATTTTTCCAAAAATGAAGAGGCTAAATGCCTATTCCCAAACAAAGTGAGAAAAAATCCTTAGAAGCTAGATAAGTTCATTATATGTTTAATCACAGACAATATTTACTAAATTGGGAAAGATCTAACATGTAATGATGTCTCAATTCTGCTTTCTTTTCCGCATAACAGACCATAGTCTAAATTCACAAATTGGTGGAAAAGACACTATAATGGGGTTATATATACTTCTTAAATATTTAAATAACAAACTAGCAGGAAAGGTAAACTTAAGTAAATATAATGTAAAGTTTTTTTCTATACGGTTTTCCATATTGATTATAAAGAACATATTTATTAACACAATGACTTTCTTCTAAATACATTTTTTAACCTTTATACTAGGCAACATGGTTTAATGTGAATATATATCAGGGTTGTTTTTGTTCTTTTTTTTTGTGTATAAGGCCCAGTCGCACCTAACACATTTATAGCAGTGGAGGCAAAGTGGTAAACCTTCTTGTTCGTAGTTGGATGCTTTGCTCATTTGATGTTCATAACACCAAATAAAAAAGAATCAAAATTCACTGGTGGAATTTTAAACCCTGAGCAGTGAAGCGTAAGTGGTAAACCTTTATAAGCTAGTTGAATAGTTTGCTCATTTGATGCCCATGAAAACAACAACATAAAATTTAAAACGGAAAACAACAAACCTTGCATGCTGCGGCATCTGAAGCCCGCTTCTTTGAAGTCATTAAAAGCCATACATTCTGGCATAATAAAACCTTTCTCCATGTCAGTATGAATTCTTCCAGCAGCTTGAGGGGCTTTAGCTCCACGCTAAAAATAAAATACTTCCTATAATGTCTTATATCTTTTAAATTTTCCCGACTTAAAACCACAAATATATATATATCATTTATTATACCATCAGGATAAAAGTTTAGTCAGGATTTTTAAAACTGAAGATAATGGTTCAGCATAAATATATATAGTGTTTAGAACACTTACTTTATCAAACTGCACTAAGAAAAAAACATCAGCAAATCAAATCGGAATATAATTTCTAGAAAAAATAAAACTTTCCGATAGAATGTATAGTCTGGCCACTGCATCTTTCATAGAAGTAACATTTTAACATGAACAATATGTCAATACAATAGAGGCTTGAAATATCATTATAAGAAAAAATGAAGCGCCAATTATATAAGGTATAAGACAGCTATATCAAGTTAATAGTAACCTTAAACCTTGTTTAACCAACAACACATCAGCCCATTGTGGCAAACATTTATGCAAAATCATTTCTTAATCATTCCATGAATGACAATCTAGTGACAATAGGAGAAAACGATCAATTCATTATCATATTTAGACTTTTGATGTACAATACTGACCTTCAAATGACCATTCATGCATTTATAAGAAAACTAGAAATGTGTCATCATGCCACGGATGCCCCCGCACGCAGCCAAAATTTCAGATGCTGCATTAATTATTTTTTTCATTTTAAGTTCAAAGCCCTTAAAACTTTTCAATGTTAACACAAAACATTTTCATACAATGTTCAAGGCACTGAAATAATTCAGTCTTGACCTTTTAAAAATAGCATATTGCATATTTGTAGCCAAAATAATGGCTAAAAGTCATGAGTGCTGAAACTGAAAGTTCAAAATTTTTCCAACATTCAGGAAAAGATAAGTTTGTCTAAAATCATTGAACCACGACCAAATTCAAACTTAAAACTGCTTATTCCTAAGATGTATCTATATTATTTTCAAAGTAAAAGGGGCATAACTCTGCCAAAAAATCATCGAACCATGACAAATTCGAACTTGACCTGTATTTTTTCATGACATATCCATATGTTCAAGTTTGAGTGAATGTGTTGTACCATTGGGGAGATAATGAACGGAAACTGAAAATTTCATATTATTTTCAAAGTAAAAGGGGCATAACTCTGCCAAAAATCATCGAACCATGACCAAATTCGAACTTGACCTGTATTTTCTCATGAAATATCCATATGTCAAGTTTGAGTTGAATGTGTTGTACTGTTGGGGAGATAATGAACGGAAACTGAAATTTCATATTATTTTCAAAGTAAAAGGGGCATAACTCTGCCAAAAATCATCGCACCATGACCAAATTCGAACTTGACCTGTATTTTCTCATGAAATATCCATATGTCAAGTTTGAGTTGAATGTGTTGTACTGTTGGGGAGATAATGAACGGAAACTGAAAATTCATATTATTTTCAAAGTAAAAGGGAGATAACTCTGCCAAAAATCATCAAACCATGACCAAATTCGAACTTGACCTGAATTTTCTCATAACATATCCATTTGTCAAATTTGAGTTGAATGTGTGCAACCGTTCTTAAGATAATGAACGGAAACTGATGATGACGGAATGACAGAATGACGGAAGGACGGAACAGGGTAACACTATATGCCCCGGCCATTTCATGGCGGGGGCATAAAAATTATATTGGCCATACAAGTGCTAGAGACCTAACACTTGAGTGGGACACATCACAATCTTGTTTAAAACATTTCTGCAATGTTTCATTTAAAAAATCCATTATGGGCTTAAAAGTGTACTTTTCTTCTTGAAATTACTTTCATATGAAAACATGAATATACAAAGTAGTCAACCATTCATCATGTGTTCAACAGTTTAATGTGTTCAGTAATTCTTATAAGTAACTTTCCATTACATTCCCAGTTTTATGGCGCTTTTTTCTCCCCCAATTCCAATGGTGTTGGTGGCATTCTAAACATATCTTGAAAACAAAAATGTTACTTACCTGTATAGTCCATGCCCTAACCTCGTCTTTCCCACTTGTGAAGAAGTAAATTAAGCCCAATGCTTTATATCCATTAACTATAATCTTCTCTAAAGCACTGAAAAACAACAAGAGCACCACATGTGTTGTTTAAAGCTCGTCAGTAGAAATAACCACTTTTGACAAAAAAGATATATCTAGATTCACATAATCTGTAATAGATATTAATATTACTTGAACATCAGTTCAGTATATCATCTTTATGTTTGTTTGTTTCATTTTACGCCTTTTCCCAACAGTATTTCAGTTATATAGGCGGGTTGTTTCCTAACCATCGTTCCTGGAGAGTTACACCAGTACTAGACTACCTTCCTCCGTGCTAAACTACCAAAGATATCATGGGGCGTCCGTGGCCGAGTGGTTAACGTCGTTGACTTCAAACCACTTGCCCCTCACCGCTGTGGGTTCGAATCCCGACAGGGACTTTGGATTCTTTCATGTGAGGAAGCTATCCAGCTAGCTTATGGAATGTCGGTGGTTCTACTCAGGTGCCCGTTCGTGCCTGAAATAATGCACGGAAGGGCACCTGAGGTCTTCCTCCACCAGTAAAGCTGGAACGTCGCGATATGACCTAAACTGTGTTGATGTGACGTAAAACCCAAAACAAAACAAAAACCAAAGATATCATCTTTAAACTTGTGCTATAATGCCAATTCAAAAGTATAAATATTTGTTTCCATCAAAGGACCCCATTGCAAATAAGTTCTATATTCAATATTGAATTTTCATGGGTTATCCTGTGTTGCATATATATTTCCTTGAAATCAACTTAATCTTTGATTTAACATGAATGTAAAGTTACTATTTTTCAATTAAGTATTGTGTTACAAATAATGTGATAGATATATCTGTGATAAATTATCTTAATGTATTGTAATATGAAAGCATGTTGTTCGGCATATGCTGTTATATACTGTGAAAAATAATTATTACCTTTGAGCATTATGCTCTTTTAAATATTTTTCCCGTTCTTCATCAGACGTAAAATCTAGCAAGTTTGACTCAAACTCTCCACTGAACAATATAACTGTAGCCCCAGCATCATTTGTGTCAATCCATTCCTTTATTTTAGGTAACCTGAAAGTTACACAGCAAAGGCTCTTAAAGCCAATATCCCACACATTTTAGTTTGGTCGTTTTGGAAAAAATGTCATCAAAAGAAAATTTCACTACAGACTCTCGTACATTTATATGGAACTAGATGATTAATTATTCATATCATGTCTGATTAAATAAACATCTAAGTAAAATATTTGTAATGTTTGTCCTTCTGTAATTTTTAACCGTTGCAACGTTTTATATTGTAAATAATGACTTTAATTATAAACACACCAGTTAACCAGTTGCAAGCAGATCAGTTTGTTGTGTGTAAAACAATTATGTACTTGGTAAGATTTTTTTTATCCTGCTGCACAATATATCACAGAAAATTGAGACAAAATGAAGAACATATCTTGGATAATCTGATTACAAACCGGATCAAACAGTCCTACTCAGTACATATTAATGCATGTTTTTGTTTCTAATAACAAATATAATGTTTAACATTTTAAAGTTGTGTCTTAATTCATGACACAGTTACGGTCATTTGGAGACGTTCCAGCTTTGACTGGTGGAGGAAGACCTCAGGTGCTCTTCCTTGCATTTTTTTAGACATGAACAGGCACCCAAGTAGAACCACCAAAGTTCTGTTAGCTAGCTTGATAGCTTCCTAACATGAAAGAATCCAAAGTCCCTGTCGGGATTCGAACCCACAGCAGTGAGGGGCAAGTGGTTTGAAGTCAACCACCTTAACCACTCGGCCACAAACGCCCCTTAATGGATGTAATAATACGGGTATTTATATCTGTATCAAAGCAAGGTACATAAAACCAGTTAAGATAAGCTTTAAAGTATATATACTTACCATTTATTTTTCTTACGACTATAATCTTTCTCTGATAGATTAACTAAATAAATCACTGGTTTAGCTGTGATAAATAAGTGGTTATTCAGAACATCAATCTAAAATAAGAAGGAAAGAAATTTTAACAATTTGATATCTTGTGGAAATATTTGCAGATTTATACCATCATGTTAAATAAGCATGCTAAGTTAAATTATTAAATCTAACATTACATTTATAATTGGGTAACATATCAAACTGTTACAACTTACAGGTATTGGAAAAACGCGCTCAGTCTTAAATGATTCCTTTTTCATGATTTTTACAGTGACATACAGACAGTATAAAATATTTTATACAATCTCATGCTTATTTTCATTTAGTGGCATAATCTCTATAAAATCATGCAAATGAAAGATTAAATGTACCTCTTTGGCATCGAAAGTGATATTTCGGACCCATTTACTACTTTCCAATGCTTCTCTGACTTTCTTCAATGTTTCCTACAATACAAAACATAAGGTTTTGTTTTAAATGTACAACAATAATGTATACTTATGGAACGCCGTGACTGTCTTATGCTATCAATATTGTTGCTATCTTCTAAAATGATGATATTATTTTGTCATTTAAGCATATTAACATGTGCAATTTACATCATATCTTGTCTAGAGACAATGCTTACTTGTTCAAACAGCATGTTAACTTGTCAAATAATCATTATAATATGTGCAGACAACATGTTATCTTGTCAAAGTATCATGATGACTTGTGCAAACGACATGTTAACTTGTCAAAATTTCATGATGACATGTGCAAACAGCATGTTAACTTGTCGAATAATTGTGATGACATGCTCATAATACCTTAACAAGTTAACATGTGTTTTGCACAAGTCACCACAATTCTTTGACAAATTAACATGTTGTTTGCACAAGTCATCATGATAATTTGACAAGTTAACATGGCATTTGCACAAGTCATCACGATACCTTGACAAGTTAACATGCTGTTTGCACTTGTCATCATGAAATTTTGACAAGTTAACATGTCGCTTTCACAAGTCACCATGATACTTGGACAAGTAAGCATGTTGTTTGCACATGTTATCACGATGATTTGACAAGTTTGCATACTGTTTGCACATGTCATCATGAAATTTTGACAAATTAGCATGGCATTTGCACAAGTCATCATGATACTTGGACAAGTTAACATGCTGTATGCACATGTCATAACGATAATTCGACAAATTAACATGCTGTGTACACATGTCATCATTGAATTTTGAAATGTTAGCATGGTATTTGCACAAGTTATCATAATACTTTGACAAGTTAACAGTACGTTTTGACATGTCAGCATGATACAGATAACATGTCATTTGCACAAGTCATCACGATTCTTTGACAAGTTCACATGTTGTCTTCACAAGTCATCATGGTAATTTGACAAGTTAACATGCTGTTTGCACATGTCATTTGCACAAGTCATCACGATAATTTGACAAGTTAGCATGTTGTCTGCACATGTCATCATAATAATTTGACAAGTTAACATGCTGTTTGTGCAAGTCAGCATGTTCCTTTGACAAGACATGATGTAAATTGCACATGTTAACACGCTCAACTCACAATATAATATCATCGTTTCACAAGATAACAAAAACATTGATTACGTAAGACAGTCACGGCGTTCCATATATACTAAACATAAAACATCCAATGAGTCAAGTCAACTGATTTATTTAATAAATAAAAGCCACCAGACACAAAAACATATCATACAAAATGTAATGTTTAACATTTATGGTTGTGTCGTAAGTTATGATAAATCATTATTACATTTATCTACTGTTCCATACAGCTCATGATGCGGTAAATGTATGCAGATATTTTCAAAATTACAAAATTATCTTTCGATAAAAGTAATTAATAAGTTATCTAATTCAGTTCTGGAATTATACCAATTTAGTAAATACATGTAGGTATTTCAAATTTCAAAATATTTGCTACAATGAAAAAATGAATGATATTAACAGTCAATGTGAAAAGTTTCAATGTGAAAAAGTAAATGATTTCCAAGACAAAAGCGTTTTTGGAAAGGTATATTTAAATGTCTAACAAAGTTATGGCCATTTTTATAATGTTCAACAATTTGACCTTACAGGTCAAGGTCATTTAAAGCTAAAGCTAAGGTCAAACTTTGTTTAACGTGACAGTTTGATCAAGTATGAAAATGGGCTACATAAAATTTTGGAAGATAACGATGACGACTACGCAGCATTGATCATAAAAGCTCAACTTTTCTTTTGAAATCAGATAATCTAAATATCATATTTACATATTCATGTTTTTTAGACTTGTCCCCGCCCCTCAACACGGCTCTTTCAATATTGTCCATATGTTTGTTGAGGTATTCTATGTCTTTCAATCGCAGCTCCTCGTGTATAATATCTAAATCTCTCGATGGGTCTACATCACCTTCCACATGAACAACTTCTTCTCCAGGGAATGCTCCTGAAATAGATGATATTGAATGAGCGTAAGTTCAATACTAAATTTATTGAACAGGTGGAATGTTATTTTTATCACGTACCCAAAATAAAGACTTTTTAAAGTGAAAAAGAATCATCTTTCACTGGCAAGCTTATAGAATAATGCCAACATTAACCATGTCTTTACGCTATGTTAGTATAATGCAAATGAGGCCATCCTTAAAAAAATGTTTGTTTGCAGTAACCCGACCCAGAATTTTCAAGGTAGGTAGGTAGGTCGATTTTTTTTTTTTTTATTGAACTGTACTCCCAAATAAACATGGAATTTCAAAATGCTGGACAATATATGCTTTGATAATCTGGTAACAATTAATTAATTGATAACTGAATTCTAATTTAATAAGACCTACATTTTATTTCTTCTATTAACCTTTAAAAGAAAGAAAACAAAGCACAAGTCATAATTTCCTGATTCAAAAAAAAAAAATTTTTATCCAGACCATGAAAAAAAATTTTGAGTAGGGGAAAAATTTTGTGAGTCGGTCGCGTTACTGCAAACAAACATTTTTTTAAGGATGGCCTGAGGTCATGTCAAAATATATGCACTGATGTGCAATACAATATTTATGAAGTAGCAAAAGCAGCACAGGTGTGTGATAAAAGTCATTTTATCATAGCCATATTAAGACTTTCTGTAGTCAAAATCTTAAAAATTCTCTTTAGTAAATACCATCGTCGGATACCCACGGCCGAACCATTAACATTCATCAGCCGTGGGATTTTTTGCCGATATTCAGTCGATTAGAGGTGTGTCAAAGGCAGCTATTTCATTGGCTGCCTCACGATTTCATGAGGCGATTAAAACCAACCAAAACGCTCGTTCTGTACGACGTTCGGTATTACAGACACTATTGCGACAACCATAGACGACGTGAAATGTTCAACATCGAAAAATTAAACGATTTCCAGCAAGAAAGTAGGGATAATTTACTTTTATAGCGTGATGTTTTCCTTTCTAATTAATATCTGCTTGCAGAGAACTGATTTGGCGATATTTTTTGCCATTGATTTTAGCAAGACACGTACAACAGTTTTTAACCGTGGGCGCTGCCATTTTGTTTCTTATTGTTTTTTACCTCCGCTAATGAAGAATATAGATTTGTTAAACGCGATGTCATTGGTAAATATTTTACGCACCTGTTGCTGTATATCGACGCAAATCGATTCATTTTACCCACAGTTGATTGCATGTTATGTGACATGTTTATCAATCGTGGGTATCCGACGATGGTAAATACTTGCCTTGTAAAAAACTTAACTTCTTTAATTCATCACATCTTAAGTCTTGTTTTGTCTGCTGATATAATCAACCTTTGTTTGCCACCAGTATAGAGCTAGGCTAGCCTGTACATATGTTTAGTCCATACATTTGTATACTGTATACATGTACTGTTGATAGCATAGTTTTTGCATATTGATATTGAAAACCCACAATCATTAAATGGACTGACCAAAGTTAGAAACTGGGTAAATTTATGACACAAATTAAGCTGGTTAAAGAAGCATTGGATTTACATTTTTTTTTCAACAATGAAAAGGTCAAAGGTGACAAGGTGAAATCGGGAGAGAAGAAGTGACTTCTTTTGTTTACACAAAATAGAGAAATATTTTCACATAACAGGGAGAAATGGGCTTTAAACTGTACCAATAATCTAAATTGTAAATCAATATTGAAACAAATTGACCAGTGTCACGACAAAACCAACGTTTGCGACCAGCATGGATCCAGACCAGCCTACGCGCAGTCTGATCAGGATCCATGCTGTTCGCTTACCAACCCTATTACAAGTAGAGAAATTGATAGCAAACAGCATGGATCCTGATCAGACTGCCGCAGGCTGGTCTGGACACATGCTGGTCGCAAACACATTATGTAGGTTTTGTCGTGACGCGGCTTCATGTTGTATCCAAATTTCGACACTCAATGACAGCACTACTTACTGATTACATGATATATAGCATCGCACGCGGAGATGTTTGACAGGAAGGCATTTCCTAACCCTTTACCCTCGTGGGCACCTTTCACAAGTCCTGCAATATCCACTACATTCAGGAAAGCTGGAACTTTGCTGAAAACATATAAAATCAATCAAACTAAAGTATAACAACACCTGTTAATAAAAGAGCTTTTCTCAACACTTGACAATAAGAAAAGGGACATAACTCTGTAAATAAGGTACGTCAGAGTTATGGGACCAAGCCCATCATGAGAATAAGTATGTGTGAAGTTTCAATCTATTCCCTTCAGTGAATTTGGAGATACTAATGGAACTTATTCTTCAAATAGTCAACCTTAAAAGATTGACAAACAAAAATAATTCATAAGACTATTTTTATAACTTCATAGTGGAATAAAAAAAGAACTTTGAAAATTTGCAAAGTAAAACAATCATAAGGTAACGTAAATAACGCTGAAAAGCATTTGACTCTATCTCAATCCATTGAGAAGTTGCAGCATTTTGAAATCAATTTTGATGGAAAAAATCAACGGAAAATAGTGATTTTTGGCAATTTTGAGATGTCCCCTCGTTGCCATGGTAACAGAAAATTTAAGTCTGTGCATGTTGTTTCAAGGGCAATGGTCCAGTCAACATTTGTGCCAAGTTTGATTAGTGTTGAAGCAGTTTTTATAGTATTATAGCAATTTGAACTTGTAAAGGGAGACTTTTCAATGAAAACAGCCATTTTTCACAAAATGCTCATGAAGTAATGGGTTAAGCAGTAATAGACAAATGACCAAGATTAATTGTCTTGTATAAAGTTCCTGATGCTCAAGGAACTAGCAATCCCTGGATCACTAATATAATGCTCTCCCTATTGAGCTAACCAGACAGACACACATATACAAACAAGGCAACAATCATTTACCTGGCAGGCTGCCAATGCTCACAGAGGAATTCAAATCTGGCATCAGGTACCGGAACACGACCTGAAAACATTCAAATTCAGATCTGGTCACATGTTACAATTAATATAATATGAGCCGCGTCACGACAAAACCAACATAGTGGGTTTACGACCAGCATGGATCCAGACCAGCCTGCGCATCCACGCAGTCTGATCAGGATCCATGCTGTTCGCTTACCAACTCTATTACAAGTGGAAAAGCCGATAGCGAACAGCATGGAACCTGATCAGACTGAGCAGATGCGCAGGCTGGTCTGGATCCATGCTGGTCGCAAACCCACTATGTTGGTTTTGTCGTGACACGGCTCAATTATAATATATCAATTCAGCTGAACGGACAATAAACATATCTTTTAATCAATGTATTAAAAATCAACATTTGCTTGTCAATTAACATATTACTTATTGTCAATAAATATATATCATTTTACAATCAATATGTTACTTCTTGTCAATTAAAATTTATAACTTGGCAATCAACATATTACTTATTGTTGAATAACAAATTCTAAAATCTTTGAAAATAAGGGCTTAAACTTGATGGTGCTTTAAAAAAATTTAAGATGCCATCTTTAAGACAGTGATTCTTTACATTTGTTTAATCACTTCAAAAATATGTTATGGATTTTTTCCCAATTTTTAATAAAACATCACTGAAATTCCCAATTACATGGGTATGGGTCATGTTCCTAAAATCCTGGGGGAAAAAAGAATCAGGGGCGGCAAAATCGAATGCCCATATTGCCCAGGTGGTTCTACCGGGTGTACAGACAAGCAGAAAATTTCAAGAATTTACTATATAAATATCATGCAGACAAAAAATGCTTCAGACAAGTAAGTTAAAATGAGATTTTTCCGGGCCCTAAAGTCATATTTGTTTCCTATACCGCACAGAACAAAATATTTCAGCACATTAACATAAAACAAACTTGAAAGGTTTTCAGGTAAAATTAACAGATGATAAAATTTGCGAGATTATTATTATAGATTATAAAATCAATTGGCAAAATATTATTGGATATTTTTTTTTATCAAATTGCTAGGTAACATTATATAACAGGGGTTTTGATCATATAAATATACTTTAATGTCTGTATGTTAGAAAATTTATCCTACTGACATAATATGTTGGCAGTGTTTTCTTTCATTTTTGGGAGAAGGAAAAATGCAATAAGAGGGGGATTTTTATTTCTTCACAAATGAGGAGAAATGAAACAGAATCCAGTGCATATTTTAATATACCACTTCTAACATTGCATCTATTAACTGTAGAAAGTTTTATTTTTTACTGTAAGATTTACTGTTGTTCGACACTGTTTTCTTTCTGGCAGAAAAGGGGGGGGGGGGACTCTTGCAACACAAGTTTAAAATACGTTGCTTTTTCTTAATATAAAGACCTAAAATATCAATATTAGAATTTAAAGTTTCGCATATTAAACTTGTTGGGACGCCGGGAGTAGCTCCCCTTACCTAACACAGAATGGATTTGTAAACAACCTTGCTTAACAGTAAGTCTTACAGGCATAAAATAAAACATTTTTGGGCAGTTAGTTGCCTAAATGATATTCATTTCAGGCAAATTTGGGCTGCCGTATGGAGGAAAATCTCGGTTTTGAGGAGGGAAAAAAAACCCACTATTTTGAGATGGGAATGGGGCCAAATTTCGCCGAATATTTTGGTTAAAAAAAAACACTTTCTGGGTTTAAAAATTTCGCAAGCAAAGATGAAAAGAAGTACTCTTTTTTACACATTTCATTAATGATAAACATTGATGACTTACTTTCATTTGGATCGATGGTGCAAAAAGGAAAGTTTTCTGCAGTTGCCGAACTTTTTGTTAATACATTGAAGAATGTCGACTTCCTAAAATCGAAAAAAATTACAGCAAATAATATTTCACCAGATAAAATTAAACGATTTGACAATGTAATTTTGTTTGATTTTAAGTCACAGCGATAAGTCACGGGGATACAATCAAGGTTATTTTGCAAAAGATCAGTCAAGGGCATTTTACAGAAGATATATATTAGCAAGAGCTGTCGGTGGGACTTCATGCTTGACTATTCTCAGTGCTTGATAGTACATGTGAAGCATGAGCCTCAGTGGATAATGTAAAATTTTCTATGTTCAAAAAAGTCAATAATTCATTCAAAATCCATGTCAGAGTTATGGGCCTTGGATACCGACATCTTATGTTCTCAAATAACTGTGTATATTCTCTACAATATTTTTGTAGGTATCAACTTACACACAAAAACTTAACCATGAACTAACCATAACATATTATTATTAAATACCTGCACTCCAGTTGAGGCATAGTGCAATTATGGGTATACGATTTAGCTCTGATACATTTTCAATAGGAAGTCTCCAAACAAAACTGACATACCCTACATTTGGCAATCCTACTATGCCTATTTTCAGATTTGTTCCAATACGCCCCAGAAAGGCAGGGGCTGCCTTTGCTCCATCATCCTTCTTCTTTGGTGGCATGGCTTAGCCTCACTGCAATACTTAAATGAAAATCAGAGGACTTGAATGATTGCTTTAAAGGTAATGCCAGGGCTGAAAAAATCAACTTGATAAACAATATATAAATGCATCAAATACCATCGATAACTTTTTAAAATCGCTCAAGTTATCCAGTGACATCACAAAATGGAGTCGGCGACAAACTCAGATCGTGGGAAATAATTAGAAAATGTTGAATTATTCCTACATAGCTATGTTATTAAAAAAAAATTATCGGTGGTATTTGATGCATTTATGTATTGTTTATTGAAATGGCCAGATAGAATAATTTGATCCCTTGTTTTGTTGATTTGTTCGGCGTAAATTATAATGGGGTGGGGAAAGGCGTTTCATTCCTTGTGTTTATTTATACTGTATAGGGGGTATATTTTGGATATTATCATTAATATTGATAGAATTTCAAGTTCCTGTGGTTTTATACAGTGAGATACGCAATCTGCTATCTTTACTCGCAATTCTATTGATAAGAATAGCCTGTCGACGGCTAGTTTGGAAACTGTCAATCCGTGTATACAAATATTTTGGTTATATTTTATTTTTAGCTCACCTGTCACAAAGTGACAGGGTGAGCTTTTGTGATCCCTTTTCGTCCGGCGTCCGGCCAGCGTCTGTTAACTTTTACTTTAAATGACATCTCCTCATAAACCACTAAGCCAATTTCATCCAAACTTCACAGGAATGTTCCTTTGGTGGTCACCTTTAAAACTTGTTCAAAGAATTTAATTCCATGCAGAACTCTGGTTGCCATGGCAACCGAAAGAAAAAACTTTAAATATCTTCTTCTAAAAAATCCTAAGAGCTAGAGCTTAGATATTTGGCATGAATCTTCTAGTGAGTGTCTACCAAGTTTGTTCAAATTAAATCCCTGGGGTCAAAATCGGCCCCGCCCCAGGGGTCATTGTTTTTCCCTATATGCATATAGTAAAAACTGAAAAAATCTTCTTTTAAAGAACCCAAAGAGCTAGAGCTAAGATATTTAGCATGAAACATTTTCTAATGGGTGTCTACCAAGTTTGTTCAAATAAAAGCCCTAGGGTCAAAATTGGTCTGGCTTCAGGGGGTCATTGATTTTCCCTATATGCATATAGTAAAAACTGAAAAAAATCTTCTTTTAAAGAACCCAAAGAGCTAGAGCTAAGATATTCAGCATGAAACATGTTCTAACGAGTGTCTACCAAGTTTGTTCAAATAAAAGCCCTGGGGTCAAAATTGGCCCCACCCCAGGGGGTCATTGATTTTCCCTATATGAACAAACTTGGTAGACACTCACTAGAAGATGTTTCATGCCAAATATCTAAGCTCTAGCTCTTACGCTTTTTTAAAAGAAGATATTTTAAGTTTTTTCTTTCGGTTGCCATGGCAACCAGAGTTCTGCATGGAATTAAATTCTTTGAACAATTTTTAAAGGTGACCACCAAAGGAACATTCCTGTGAAGTTTGGATGAAATTGGCTTAGTAGTTTATGAGGAGATGTCATTTAGAGTAAAAGTTCACGGACGGACGGCCGGACGACGGATGGACGCCGGACGAAAAGTGATCACAAAAGCTCACCCTGTCACTTTGTGACAGGTGAGCCAAAAAGGGAAAACAATTTGCACAAAAGTGACAGTAGCCAAATATTTTTCTTTCTCTTAATGACAAATATTATTCTCAAAAAACAAATCTAACACTCACGTGATTTTGTCACTATAGACAAAGAAGGAAAAAAACTGGTGTTAAACTGACAAAAAACACCAGTTAGGGACTACTTGTATATGCGCTGTTATGTTTTCACCCACGATTGTATAGTTTACAAAGCATTTTAAAGCAACAATAAAAAGCATTTTTATTTATATTTTCAGTTCTTATAATGTTTTCTTTTCATAAAATACCGAAATAATATCTCACATACACAAACGCCACATATTAGATCCATATCAGTTAATAAATACTTTGACAAAACGGCACTAATCCGTAAGCAGCGTAACTGACGTCATCCTAAGTAAACAACTCATTCATAAACAAGCTGACGTTATTTCATACATACAAGAATTATAAATGGGGCACTGATGTAAACACGATACGACGTAAGTTTTTATTGTTGAAAACTTGATAAAATAACTTTTTTTTTTCTTATTATTTTTTTTGTTTGATAATTTCTATATCTTCGCAACAGTAGGGTGCGAAAATCGAACAGCGTTATACAAAAATCGGCACCGGAAGTTATTTCCGCTTGTAAAATAAGTTTAGTGATTTTCCTTATTTTATCGTGTTAGAATCGAAATAACATCGGCCGGAGAGGTGTATATCGGCTATTTAACACCGGTTTTGTCGTTTTGATGCGACAAAATTAACCACTCAGGCCTACAGCCTTTGTGGTCAATTCCTCCCAATTCCTACGCATCAAAACTCCAAACCGTGTTAAATACACCTCTCAGGCCGATGTTATTCCTTAAACAAACACACAAAAGAAATATCTTGAGTACCTTTCTAGAAATATGATTTTTCATCCCATAAGCCCGATAGGGCATTTTCACCAGCCTGTTTAAATTGGACATAACTGTTTTATTCACAATTTCAAGTTCCTATGGTTGAAAATAAGATTACAAGACTGATTAAATCAAGAGGAATAAATACAATAAGGACGATAAAAAGAAACATCAAATGATATATATTCATACATACATTTAGAAGTAGCAGTTCACCAAAATATAGTAAATTTTATGTTTACCGGCCTATCAACGTGTTTTGCCCAATATGGTGAAATTTTCTGGTTCCCAGATTATCCAGGGAACCAGCAAACCAGCTATATTCTGTATATTCCGTACCAAGTTTCTACTAATTGACGATATCCGGTCTCAGGTCTCCCGGTCTGAAAAGACCATCAATTGATGGAAAACTTCGATTTGTAGGTTATGATACAGATTGACGGTCTCTTGATTAAATGATAAGAATTAGAAAGGCTAAATGAAGACACTTGTTTATAAGTGTCAATATTTTTAAAGATGATTGACATTAGAGCGGACATTCTTTTTACTGAATTTTCTCTGTCCGGAAAAAATATGTTAATCATTGACTTTTTTGTGTGCAAGATTACAGTAATGTCAAATAAAATTGATATCAGTTTTATTAGTTATTTTGATTGTCAACAATGTAAGATATTTTATTTTCAATCAAAAGGTATATAAAAAATAGTAATAAAACGCGCTTGGTTATGTCCACTCTATAAATTTTACGTTGTGGGGTTTTGACGTGTGGGGTTTTGTCCTACATTCTTTGGTTAATATACTGACTGGTGCTTTTGAAAAAAAATCTAAAAAAAGAATTATATATTATTTTGTAACAGTCTTAACTATTACAAATGACCATAGACATAAATAACAGAAATAGACAACTTCCTAGCCAGTTAAAATATCACGCCTGCTTGCTAAATTTAAAACTTGTAGCAAGTAGAACTTATTAACCAGATATCAAAATCAGTGAAATAATACATTTTCTGAAAGCTTATGCATTTGTCTATGACTGCAAATTAGAATATTTACAGCTCCCATTCAAATAAATGTTACATCATTTTTTAAAGGGAACTACTTAATAATTTTTGTAACAATACTATATTCATAAAAAAACTGGCTCAGTGGATGTTCTGCCATTGTTTTTCTAAGTGAAAGGCATCGAAAGTTACCAATATTTTAACATACAGCAATAGATAAAAGATTTACCTTTCAAATGGTATATAATATTAAAGGATCAAATGTACGTCCATTAAGTTTTATTTGCTACAAAATGCCTAATTTTTCACTTTTTGATAGGCATTTGTAATATTTCAATGGAGAATATAGGAGCTGATTATCTCTGTTATCTTTGTCTCTAGAAATGACTTACAAGTAATTTAAATTAATATATATATTTCATGCCCAATTAATTTATGTTGTCGCAATGTTCTATTACAGAATTACTCGATACATTAAACCGTTTTCTCAAGACATGGTTTTGAATTGATCACCATGCAAGTTGTAATTGCTCTTCATTAAACTTCATCAGTTTTGTCACTATGGTTGAGTAGTGTAACCACAACAGCTTTATCATACCACAGCCGATCTCCAAGAAGAGGCCAAAAGAAGTGATTAGGCCATATTCGACGGATAACATTGGCCTCTTATATTAAATATAATAATAATAATTTTACTCATTTTATAAAAAAGTATCTAGGGCATTAAAACGACAAAAGATAATGAATTACCCAGCATATATAGGCAACACTTGGTGTGCGTCAAAAGTCAGAACCAAAGCACATATTATCTTCCTAGAACATGTTCCATATGATCAATTCGGGTTTGACTATGCGGGACCAAACTTCAGATGCATATTCTAGTTTCGGTTGAGCAATGCATTTATGCCATGTCATTAATGGGTTTTAAGTTTAATTCATCTTCAGCAAATATGCGACATTTTGCTTGGACCTCCTGTTGGAGGTCATTAATGTAATCACGAAAGAACATGGACCCCAGAAGTAACAGTTGTGTTTTCAGAAGATAATTCTTTATACTGCTGGAGCCTATCATCTAACTGGAAGATATCCATTATATGTAATTATCGCATGATTTGGAACTTTTTCTTTGTTCTTACTAACCCATTATACTCAGTACACTTACAATGAGCATTTGAAAACTGTACTGATATATAGCAGTACAGTTTTTTCATTGATTCATATAGGAAAAAAAACTCAACTGCTAAATAGCGCTGCAGTTGAGTTTATTTTCGCACCATGTATATATCAGTATAGTTTTTTCACTGAGTCTCCAATGGGGCAGTGGTAACGAATATTTCCAAGCAGCAAAAAAAAAAAAAAAAAAAAAAAAAAGAAAAGAAAAAACAAACAAACAAAACAACCAAACACAAACAAAAAAAATCTTGGTAAGAAAGTAAATGTAATGAATTTATTCTCATATAATTATGCATTTGCTGAAATCAAAAGATACATCCGCCGAATGAATTATGTCCACTGAAAAAGCCCTCAAATCTTGAATCCGAATAACTTTCTCCAACAATGGACGTTGTATTATATATAGCTGTGTAAGGTAGCATACGACATCATTAGCTGGTATAGGTTCATATTATCTGCGAGTGAGAAGGGGAAAAAGTGAAAGGGCAGAAGAGAGAGAAATGCACGTTTTTTCTGATTTCTATTACAAAAAAAAAAATTAAAATGCGATAAAACAGTTATAGAACATGTATATGAAACGAGTTAGTTTCGAGGATATAACACTGGCTGGGGCGACATAAAGTGGTGTTTCTGTGGTCGTTAGGCCGAGACAATTTTCATTTTTGCAGAAACATCTCGATTTTGTTGTGATTCATGCTTCCGACGGATCACTTTGTTTCAAGATTTTCATACTTCACAACAGTAGATGTCAAGTGCTGTATAACAGCTGTAAAAAGTTGCCCCGTACTTCACTTCAGTGTTGTTATATTCTTCTGGTTCTTTGGGATCATTGATGCCAGCACTATTAAGTGTTGAGAATTGAGTACCGTTCAAGTCAGTGCTAGTCGGCGTGAGGGATGTTGCACTTTTTAATTATCCCTCATGTATAGACTCAATCAAACCGAGTTTGCAATTTTTGTGTAATTTTGTTGTGAGGATCACTTAGTTTCCAGATTTTTATACTTCACAACAGCAGGTATATTATATAATTTTCCGTCAACACTTCAGTAACAGATTGTATGGGAGCACGTCACGGTCTATAAAATCATAGCACTTCCGAAAATCGATGAAACTTGCAAATAATTCACTGCTATTTCTTACAATTGAATTCAGTGTGAATATGTCGTCTTCGCATGACATATTGGACCTACAGCCATTCTGTCCGTCTGCTAAAAAATCTGGAAACAAGATTTCATTTTTTCCCAAAAATGTTTGACAAACGTTTGTTTGAAAATGCACTGAAGAGTTTGCTAATGCATAACAATAAACTATTACCCCTATAATTCACAGGTATTCTTAAATATGCTGTACTGTCTTTAAGAATAGGATACATGATTGCTTTCCTCCATAAATTTGGTACTATGCCTTATGTCAAATATTATTTGAAATAGCTAATGTAGAACTGCAACTACATTCGGGTATTTTAACACACAGTTCGGGATTTGATCATATCTGCTTTCTGATTTAGATTTCACGTGTGTAACTAGTGTAACTGATATGTATTATTTTTTGTTGGATAAAATTCAAAAACCCATGACTTAATTTAAATAGACTAGGAAGAGAAAAGTTTACCTGTACTACATCTATGATAGACGTTTAGTAACATATTTTAACGGAATGACTTCATAGTAGTTATATAAAATATGTAAACTCACAGCTTTAAATAGTGAAAAGAGGAGACTTTGGATGTCGGCAAATTCGACATGTTTGTTTTGTTTGAGCCTGTTCGAGAACCATGCAGTGGTAATTGCCTCTTAAATCCCAACACCCCTTAGCAGTAGCTAGAGAGAAAATTGATTTTAACATTCAAATTTCATTCTAATGGTTTACTTTCTTAAATAATACCTCTCTGAAAAACTAACAAAGAAAAGAGTCGTATCAAAAGGACGGTAGAAAACACAATTAGCCTGAAATTTGATACCCTTTATCTAAAAAAAAAAATAATATAACAAAGATAAATACAGCAAGTTTTTTCCTTTTAATTAGAAAAATGTTAAAATAAACAAATACTTTTATATAATAGGCAAACACACATTTTCATAAGACACAAATGATATAAAAAGTAATGTCCTTACACAAACAAACATGGAAAATAGGTAAAGTCATTGTTGTATAAGTATACTGAGATGTCTTCCTAAACTAACTTACTGAACATTCATTCTAACATCAGTCTCATAAGTTACCATGTCACGGTTTTAATCATTTATACAAAACAACTAGTATTATAATACATACTAAATAAGAAGCAATAAAATGATATAATAATAAACATAATATTTATTATATAATAAAAGTGTTTTAGCATCTCTAATTGTCATTAAATAGATGAAAATTCTAAATTTTAGAAAGAAAACAATAAAATAATATATTTATTTGATAACGTGTTTTTCTGCGATCAATTCTAATTATTTCAACGCCAATTAAAAAAACGGAATCTATTACACTTACATAGAGAGACCAAAACATCTAATATTTTTCTTAATATCGTTCTTTAAACGTTTCATTGATGCTTTAGCGTCCGAAATACCAAAACTTACAGAAATGTATATTTTTATAGTTTAAATTTTTATCAGTTTAATAAAGAATAAAAAATGTTACTATATCAGGTTTCTTTATTGCGCTTAAAACATTAAACGAAATACAACAATCATTACGAAATAAATGGCTATAGATAAGGAATAATTGTGTGTACATGATCCAATTTTATATGATGGTTCCTCAGTGGTACTTCCATTTCCTTTGTTGCTCACATATGCTAATACCTTCATTTTCCCAGAAACCTCTTTTGTTCCACCAAACAAATTATGAGCGTCAACAACACAGCCAAAGAAATCTTTATAGCAATATTCAAGCTTCACGTTTTCCAATGAAAATTGTATGACTTGTGATTCTGTAAATGGCAATAAGAATATAAACTTTGAAGGCAAATAAAGACAATTCGTACAAATACGATATGATATTATTCAAGTACTTATGATTGTTTGTGTTTATAGGATCAAGGTAATATAAAAATGAACATGGAACAAGCAAAGTAACGAAAACAAAACTTGCCATTGTCGATTTGCATCTTTTCGGTTGAAATTTCTCCTCCTTCAAAGAAAACTACCAGGGCATTTATAG